TAATACTGCTCAAAACCTCATGGAAGTTGGATATACCAAATGCTTTGGAAGTACTGTAACAAACCCAGCAAAACAACCGCAGCGCCTCTCACTGCAGAGCCGTGGCTGGCAGGGCCACAGGCACCAGTGAAAGGCCAATTGACTTCAGCAGCAACATTTTTTCATTTAAAATTCATTTGCTTTCAAAGAAACCTTGCTTGGCATTCAACCGAAACTTTTTAAAGTGATTTCCATCAAGTGTTTTATTCAATTTCTAACAACGACTCATCTCTAACAATTTCAAAAATGAAATATGCACAAAAAATATGATGTCATTTAGGCTGAATCTTTAGTCTTACTGTCAAAATAGCTTGTGTCATCCTCAGATTCCAACTGTGGGATGAATTCAGCTTTCTGCCGTAGTAATCCATTCCAGTCCAAATCTTTAAAGAACCGATGCTGTTTCACTTCAAAGGCACTACCTGAAATAATCATCTTTTATTGCAGAGTATTTCTTTCCGCATTTGCATAACAAGAAAACAAACCCTAAAAATATCAAGAGCCTAAGGGAATGTATCCAAGTACATTTAAGCCACACATTCTCTGGGAATTTTGAGAAACAACTTATCCTTTTACCAAAGTGGTGATGCAGGATAAAATCTGAACAAGATTTCCTCCTTCCCATCTCCTTTTCCTGTTTAAAGACAACACATGACTAAACTGGCTGGAAGACAGCATCTGCTGTTACATTCCACGGCAAGTTGCAAGATTAAAAACTAATTAACATCTTAATTTTAAATTCCCAAACTCTAAATACCATCTTGATCATAGCTAAATAAAGAAAGCAAACTCAGAAAGGTACTTAGTGGCTCCACTCTCGAGAATAAACTCATCCATGTGCTTAAAGCAAGTCAGGGGCCTACATATCTTCCTGAATTACTATCTTTTGTTATTAACCTCAGAAGCTTGGGTACCCCAAAGGAAAACCTAAGGATTATCTGTCTACTAGTATATGCATTTTTTTCAAATGAAATTAATATTCATATAAGATGCTACTGTCTTTTTAAAAAAGAGCATAGCAGAGGAAAAGAGATAAAAGATTTGTTGAGCGCCAGTGGCACTACGAGACGCCAAATGGAACAGCAGTCTCAGCATTACAGGTATGTAAGAAATCAAAAAAATCAGTCCATCAACTCATTTTATAAGGCAAGAAACTCTACATCTTTTCCATGACAGCAACGTCTTTCAAGTACATGGATTTGAAGTAAAGAAGAACATGCAAAAACCATCTGATATCATTATTAATTCATGATCTATTCATCACCCTTGTGTGCACGTGTTAAGTCTGCTGAATACATGTGCCTTTTGGAATTGTTATATATATAAGTTTTTATTTTATCCTTAAAGCATAGTTTCCAATTGCAAATCCAAAATTAAATCAAATAAATCAAATCAGTGAAACAGACAACCTGTGCCATGAAGCCACAGCGTTGCACAAATGATTTTAAAACAAGAGCATAGCTAGGGATTATTTATGGTTATTTACTATCAGGAAATGGGAAGTGTTGACTTGTAGAACTTTAAATATGACATTACAATACAGAAAGATTGACATATGCATCTGAGTTTGCCAAAGAGACTTTGTTGTATCTTTGGAGAATTCTACAGTACAGGCCTCTAGGAATGGGAAAGTTTTCATTTATTTCATTACACACAGGAGTTCGCATCCATGTAGGGGATTAAGCCCCTAGTCAAAGGCAACTTCAAAGAAATCTGATTATACACTGTTCAAATGGAGACACAACCCTCAAGCCTTTAATGGAACAGCACAAATTTGAGAAGTTCTGTTGCCAAGCTGACGGCGCTCCTTTCTTGTTTCCCGAACAAGACAGTCGTATCTGTCTGACTCGTGTACAATCTACACTAATTCTCAGAGCTTCATCACACTGGATTCCTTGAACCCAGAATAAACTGTTTCCCACCTCTAGATGAGCATTTTTCAACATGGGTATGTGTGCATCACTAGCAAGGTAGCTTCTTTTCCTGCTTCTTGCTAGCATGTTCCCATGCACAAGGTTCCTACCTGTTCCCATTCTTTCCAGAGGATTTTGGCGGAGAAGCTTAGAGATGAGGTCCTGGGCATCTGGTGGCAGTGCATCATCACCTTCTGGCCAGGCAATTTCATCTGGGGACAAAAAGAGACTTGACATTTTCTACCAGTTTCACAACCAATTTGAATACCATTCACATTCCTATACTGTAAAACACAGTGTTCAGTACTGCCCCAGAATCGTAAATACCTTGAATTCAGCAGCTTGCATACTTAATATAATTCAAGCATTGACATTTTCCAAAATGCATAAAATTCAGCGTCAGCTAAAGCTGCTGTCAATCCAAGCAGTGCTTGCGGAGAAAAAAAGCATTAAGAACTCTATTAATAAAGTATGAAATGGGACTTCCATGACAATCCATAAACAATGACACTGACAATACCGCAGCTGTATCTCGTGCCCGCACATTCCACGCTTGTTATACTTGGAACAGAGAGAACAATTCACAGGTAACAATTTCATGCATCATATTTAGTTCTTTGCTGAAATTTGCTTTTTTACAAAGGACATTTGCCAAGTGTGCTAAAAATTTACTGTTTCAGAAAGCGTTCCCAATAGGAGATGTTTTCACTGGCACATTCCCTGAGAGAACACAAAGCGACCGTTTGTCCAACTCCAAGCAGGAGACAGGTTGAAAAAGCCACAAGACATGAAGGTACTGAGTACCACAGCTTCAAGGTGTCTTGCTTGGAATTTCCTTTTTATTTCATTTATATAACAATTACTAATTGACTGACGTTTGCACCTACAGGAGCAATAACCAAAATCAGGCTGCTCCTTTCATATTCTCTATCATTTAAGTTAAAAGAGAGAACAGAAAAATCCCCAAATATTTTTCCCCAATCCCACAAGGATTTGCATGACTCCCACACCATGCACAGCAACAGAACTATCTAGCAAGATGTTAAGCAACTCAACAGCTTTTGATAGCTGGAATCAGATGGATGTTACTTTGACACAGAAACAGAAATACTTTAAAATTAAAACCCATTATTTTATACCTAGTCTTTCCTGACTAAACTCGATTTTTTTGAGGTTTTACTTCACAGCACACTTTGAAACCCCTTCAGAAGCAGAACAGAAACCTACCACTGATCACTTGTCCAAACAGCTCTTCAGGTGTGTCCCCGAAGAAAGGAACGCAGCCAACTAGAAACTCATACAGGATAACTCCCATGGCCCACCAGTCCACGGGCTTCCCATAGCCCTGGCGCAGGATCACTTCGGGTGCGATGTATTCTGGAGTCCCACAGACCTCAAGAGAAGCACACAAGAAAGCAATAAACCTACAAATTGCCAATTTCACACCAAAGCTTATTTTTGACTTTTTTTTCTTTTCACCCTCAGAGCTTTACAAGGAAGTTACTAATGTTTTGCCACTAACCACTTTATGCTGTGAACTACTTCCACAGAGCAAGAGTCTATATTTGAGGAACACATTACCTGCACAGAAATGCTATCACATACTATGAAATGTCCTTAGTGCCAGCTAAGGAGTTCTTTGGTGCACGTATAGTAAAGCATATGGGAAAAATGCATATTCTGTATGTATAGGCCTGTCTACTTGATGGATGTCTACTGGCACAGCTACAGCTACCAGGAATTGAGTTTTGACAAACTTCTCACATCTCTGTGCTAGCAGAATTTAGTTTCACAGATGCAGAATTAGCAGCACAGCATGATTACACATGTCAGCCTTTAAACTTGGGAGGTGCAGCTGGCACAGAGAATGGCCAAGGAAACCACTCTGGAAGATCCAGGTTGCCTCAGGCTTAGAAGCAGCAACAATAACAAACAGTTCTAAAAAAATGTAACACTGCAAAGTGCAAGACCATGATCTAGTGACCAAAGAGAGCTCCTGCTAGAAAAGACATCGTTATTCAGAAGCAAAGGAAGACAGTACCACAGAATGATTATGAATTAGCACTTGGCACAGCTGAAAAGCCAAAAATTCAGCTGCGATCGTAGCTATTTCCAGAAGAGAGAAGTATTTTTTAATCCCATTACACAAGGCACTGGTGAGCCTGCATCCGGAACAGTACAGTTTTTGTCAACTATGCCCAGGAAATATCAACTCAAGCTGAAAGAGGTGCGTGGAATCAAAGGAAAATCTATCTTGTTATCTGGAAGAACTTAGCTGGTTAACCCTAGCAAAATGAAGGCTAAGGAGAAAAATGACCCTTAGTAAATATCATGGGGATAAAAATCAATCTTTAAGCCATCAGACAAAATTACAAGAAGAAACATACAGGAACTTGCCAGGAACTTTCTAAGCACCAGAAGGGGGAGACCGTGGAACAACCTTCCAGCAAAATCCATGTTACATCCCTAAACTGACTTCTGTTCACACCTGCATTGCTGCCTGGGCCACACTTTCAATGTCCTAAACTAAGAGCTGAAGTGCGTCACTCCAACCAAGAAGCTGAAATAACAAACAATACCAATTTATGCACAAATATGAGAATGGACTTGTATCTCTTCCTCCCATTCTACATCACACAGCACAGCATTGAGGCAGAGAGGGAGTGCTACAAACTCCAATTCTATCCCAAGACAGAATCCTGCATCTGATTCCACATCAACAGACAACATTTTTCAGCTTACCTGCTTGTCCAGGAATTCCCTGGTATCCTTCTCAATGTGTCCCTCATAAAGGTTAGTTGTAAGACTCATTAACCCAATTTTAGACAGTCCGAAGTCTGTTAGTTTAATGTGACCCATGGAAGTTATCAGGAGACTAGAAAAAAGAGAAGCAGCAAAATAATCCAACATTCAATTAATTGTTTCCCAAAAGCAATTCAAAAAAAGAAGACCACAAGATAACGCTAAGCAAGTTCTCAGTGCTACGTCCCCACCAAAAACCTGGAAGGAACCTCCTATGCAACTGAGTGTCACAGAGCAGCCAAGGCAACTAGAAATCAGACTACCTTCTGCCATAATTTCATCAGCTTTGAGATAATATCTGAAGACCTTCTTCCCACCCTTTCTCAGTGTCTATCTGGTTCTACATCAGTAGCAAGAGACTCCATAAAATCTCCTACATGTCAGATGCCATTGAAGATCTCTACTGTCTCTAGCCCCTATGTCCTCTTGCCTATGGAGAAAGCCCCTGAAGAAAGGGTGCTCTCTCTCCAGCTTCTGAAGAGCTAAAGACTTACTTATCAGGTTTTAGGTCACGGTGAACAATCCCATAATTGTGTAGGTACTCCAATGCCAGAACAGTCTCAGCAAAATACATCCTCGCCATATCAACAGGTAGGGCACCAATGTTCTTGAGAAGCGTAGCACAATCACCTCCTAGAAAAAAAGTTGCAAATACAGCACAGTGAAATGGCAAATATCAGTAAGAAAGAGCAGCTATGTAGCTACTCTAATCTACAATACTAGATTAGAGTTAGTTTTCTAAAGACTGTCTCTCTCAACCCTGTTAGCCTGAATTCTAAAGCTCTCTCTACACTCTGTCTTGAGCTTCAAATAAATATTAAAATCTTAGGAAAACTGAGATCCACATGCGTTGGGCATGCTTGCTCAGGAACTGCACAGATGCCATTTGCAAACTGTAAGCAAGCCTTGAAAAAAGGGCAGTTCATGACTGTTTGCCCTCTCTATAAATTTCATTGCTTTCCACAACTCATACACATACTACCTCTGATATACAAGCTTCTTAAAATAGTAAGTAAACACCTCTACAACTTCTAACTGGCTCCCCCTACACATGGAGAGGCAGCCATGCCTTTGGACATAGTGGTAGTCATGAAAATAAGTCTGTGGGTCCCTGATTCAAGCTTCTTAAGGAAGATTGGCCACACATTTAATTTTACTTTCATCTATACTTGCAAATAGGAATTAATATTAAAATTTATTATGCCAATACATCTGTTTTCACTCCACTAATTTATCTGAAAGAGCACTGATACAATAACTATAAGCTTATTTCCCATAAACATTCAGCCAAGCAAGCCAGGCATAAGAAATTAATCCCAGCCACCAGTGGAAATATATCGCTTACAATGAGATACAGTGACAAAATAAAATCAATTAATATTCCAAAGAATAAGCAAAACAAACAAAAAACCCCCCAGCATAAAATAGCACTGTATTTTAAAAAAAGGCTGCTAAAGAACAAAGACTGTTGCTTGGTGATGTTTCTTAACTGTCTTTTTCTAACTGTAATGCCAAGCAAACGTGCTATGGATCTAGCCATGCCATCCCACAGGAGAGCGGGAGAATCTCTTTCCAACAAGGACTGGAAAGTTCATGCTGACTTCTGACCACAGCAGTTTTCTACATGTGGCTTTATGTCTCCTCAGCTCCACTGCCGTCATGCTTTTATTAGTCACAGGGATTCACAAATGGAGGATCTCCTTACGCTAAGCTGCATGAGCGGCAGAATGACTCATTTCTCCGGCCCAGCCCAAGCAGCCCATATGCTCCTCCCTAAAGGGCATCATGACCTCCCCTGCGACGGCAGGGCCGACTGAGCTCACTTTCCATGAAGAAACGACCAGCACACACATGAGATGGTCTTCCTGCTCATTGTGTTCAGAGCAGTGCACTGACCAGTCTTACACCCAAAAGTAAACATCTTATAAATCACTCAGAAACATCATCCTTTATGAGGAAACACACTGCAGGCACAATACATGTCCCTCCTATCTAAGGTGATGCCAACCATACCTTCCACGTACTCCATAACCATGCACAAGTGGCGCTTGGTCTCAAAGGAGCAGAACATGCTGACCACAAAGGGGTTCTCGGCAAAAGTCAAGATATCTCTCTCCACAAAAGCCTGCTGGATCTGGTTTCTCAAAATTAGGTTCTGTTTGTTGATCTTCTTCATGGCAAAACGTTGACGGGTGGTCTTGTGTCGCACCAAATACACCGCTCTAGAAAACCGCATGCCAAGAGGAAAAGTTCCATTTTCAGTTCAAACAGGTCTGGTTTTTTTAAAAATGCAGTGATGGTAACTGTTTGGATGGATCTTAACACTTATCTGTGACTCCATAAAATCCCATCTCAGTGCCAAGCTCCCCTAGAAAAGAAGGAACCCCATGATGATTCCTTCCAAAAGCCACTCTGCCTTCTTGAATTAAACAGCATTGTCACTGATGTGACTAACGAGGAGATATTTCAGACACAAATGGCACAAACTTCCTTAAGCATCATTGCAGAGAGCATCATTTTCAGCACTACAGTCACCATTTCACTTAAAAAATTGTCCAAAGTGTATGGAATCGGCATGATTTCTTTCCAAGCTCCATAGAATTAATTTGACGCAATGCTGTCACCTGGGATTTCCTTCAGTAAAGTATCCCTTACATTTCTATCATTTGCAGATCATTAGATTCCTGCACATTAATAATACAGCTTGCAAATAAAATTTTCATCCAGTTTGCCTGCCTTATTGAATTAGTACTTGTTTCTTTTTCTCTGGAGTATATTACATTTAACATGGTATTGTGTCTCACCAGCAGCTGACTATAAAATACACCCAGGATAAAGACAGATACGAGTAACAGCAAAACTACCACTTCTCTCTCCCCTTTTTACAAAGTTATATTTAAATCATGGGGCCTGTGCAGGCTGAAAAGATATAAAATCTTCTTGTCTAATAGTATGGCTCTTCAACATGCTCCATTGTGTCTCCACTGACTAAAAAATACGCTCACGCTTTTTCCACATATAATTTTTAAAAAATGAGTTGCTGTTAACTAAGGACCCACTTCAACAAAACACTCAAGCACATGCTCGGGTTTTGCTGTTATGACCCACTGAATATCACTGCTTTTCAGTTACAGCCTAATGACTATCACTGGTAAGGATTTATGAACTGCAAAGAGTCAGGAACTGGCTTTAAAATTCTGGATAGGTTTGTATGAGCGGTTAAAATTTTAACTGACCGATTTCATTCTGGATTCTTCAATGGATAATAAAATCTAATAGCATTTTTACTGTATTATTTCTCACAGTACATTTGCCTCAATGTAATTTTAGCATTTCTTTTAGTATTTCAAGCACTCACAAACAGCCACATATGTTACACATATAATCTGAATACATGGAAGAATGGAAAAGCATAAACTACTTCTCCCTCATTATTCTTGCTGTTTCAATGAATCATCAATAACATTCGCAACTACGGAATTTTATTCTCACTCATTTAGCCTTTAAACAAATACAAATCACAGGACTTAACCAGACAGCATGAAGGGAAATACAAACTGCCTTGCTAAACAATAAGGAAATGGGTGCGAAATAATTTTCTCAGACTCATCGAACTACATTTTTTTTACTATTACTTAGGAAATCTCACAATAAACTAAGTGACAGTATTTTCCCTAGAGACAATACTCAAGGAAAATGTTTTCTGTCATCTCAAGCTCAGGTACTGAAGTGTCTGTATTTTACCTACCTACCATAAAGAAACAGTGCAGAAATAGTTACTGGAAAAACAGGCTTGAGGGCACAGCTAGGAAGGGCTTCAGAAAATGTGCACCACAAAGGGATTAGGAATAACACATTCTGAAAGGCTTAACGTAGGGCAACTAATTTTCCTGAGCTGGAGGCTGTGTGTCAGTTCAGCGCAATGTAAGGACTTCGCAGCCAGGAACTATGTCCAGGTACAGGGGCTACTGTGTAAGAAAGCCCGAGAATGAGCAAGAAAAGGCATCTCCCAGACAAATGTGGAAGACATCACAAGTGTGGAACCTCTGTAAAACCCAAGCAAAATTAATTTATGCTTTGGACCCAGCAAAAAGCAGTCATTCACCAAACTTTGCTATAGCCCTTCCCTGGGTAGGACAATAACAGTATTTTTCTTCTAAAGCAAAGTCTAAAAGCCTCACCCATAAGCACCATTACTGATCAGTTTAATAGTTTCAAACTCTTCTTCAGATGGAGTTTTCTTTGACTGGACAGAGGCCCCACGGCTCTGGGGAAAGAAGACAAGAAAATGGAAATCGGGAGCAGCAATGACTTCATTCTGTATGTCACTTTTTTGTCCTTTTCTTCTTTAAGCAGCATTCACCCAAACTCAATCTATTTCTAAACCTCTGGAGTCCTCAGCTTTAGGATAATTCTCTGTATCCCTAGGTCCCTTGAAGATTCCCTTCAAAAATATTAGCACAAAAAGTCAGTGGGCTATAAGATTCAGGCCTTTCCTCAATATTGCATTTTAAAAAAACCAACAAAATAGACAACTAAGGACCTTTGAAACCTAGTGAGTGATATAATTACATTTTTCTAATGGTCCGCTACTAAAGTCTACAATACCCGTCACATTTTACAAATGCAGAAATAAAGAATTTCTCCAGATGATTTTTGTTTGCAACTGTAAAAAAAAAATAATAATAAAAAAAAAAAAATCAACAAAACTCAATGATCGTGCCTGTTTGCAACTTTGAAGCGTTTCACCAGCACGGCATAGATTTCCACATTTTTATGAGTGTAGTTTTAACATACGCTTTTAAATGTCAGCACTTTTTTTTTTAATTAAAATTACTCTGCATTATAATTAATTCTTTACTGTAGACTACTTCTTTCCAGAGGAAAAAAAAAGCGCTAGACAGAGTGGTATTAGTGCTTTACCTCGACTGAATCATCTGTCTCAGGAGTGTCTGGGCTGTCATAGCTATTCAGCTGGGCCATTTCTGAAAAGAAAGAGGAAAGATTATTCCTAATGATCTCAATCAAACACTATTCTCTTTGTTTATACAAGACAAACAGGATTTTAAGAGGTACTTGTAGATGACAAAGGACATTTTTCCCCTCTGTAAAAAGTCACCCCAATTATACAGTGATAACCTTTAACATCTTTTAAGCTGTAGGCAGTATTTTATACAGAGGCGAATGTAATTAATTGTTCTAATTTCAGCCTGCCTTATTCTAGGTGGTTTCTATAGTAAGTAAAAGCAAAAAATGCAAGTTGGGGAAACCACTAGCTAGTTAATATTAAAACCTATTCCATGCATATATGACTGCATATAGCCCAGTGGCACCTCTGTACTCCAGAAAAGAAAAAGCATTACATTTCAAACGACCTCCCTCTATGAAATGTGTCTGATTCTGCATAATGCTGAGCAGCAGCAAACTGGGAGAAAGGCAGTTAGTATAGGCTGCTCAGGTATCACAGGAGCTGCTATAAACTTTGCAAAACCAAATCCTACATTAACTACTACTCTCTGCACAGACATCATTGACATTTCTGGGTGCCCTCCTTACAGAAAGGAAATAAGGCACCTTGACATCTCCGCACATTTCTAAAGAAAATTTGACTTTAGTAAGGGGAATTAGTGATGGAAAGGTTCTCTCCCATGACAGGGATCAAAGGAAATTTCCCTTTAATGTCAGATTTCAACAAATGCTATTAAATTGCATTTAGCAATCTTTGGTAAAATTTTCCCGAAGAGCTCTTCACTTGAAGTCAACCTGTCACTGTCACTCTGGTAAACACCGTAGAAGTTAAACTAGTCCTATCCAGACTACTAATTTATGCTAAAATTATGCTCTCCGGAGAGAACAAAAAGTATGGTTCAATCGCTGAAATATTCCACAGTACCCCCCAGTCTCTCTCACATTTCCTATTGTTGCTGAGCAAGCCGTGCATGCTCATAAAACTCATCACAGGAGAAGAGATTCAGCTAACAAAGTGCCAGGCAGGAATATTAACTCACAAATTCCAAAGTTAGGATCTTCTGGGCCTCTGTACATTTACAGCATATTCAATTTACCATAGGCAATTCTGGGACCTAGCAGAAAAGGTGTTACTTTCGTCCAAAGCATTACTCTCTTTGGTTTTGCTGCTATGCAAGATGTAAAAATACAATCTCACATCCACCTAAAAATTCATAGGGGTTGGGGTTTCTCATGGCAAATCACAACAGATACACTTTTCCTCGAGAAGACGACAAAGTAGGGATGACAGGATATTTTCCAACCAGGCCACCAGCAGGCAGGCAGATCAGAAAAATAAGGGGTAAATTTACTTTTACTGTCCAACAGCATAGAAAAAACAGTTAAATCATAAAGCCATTTTCTAACATTGTTTCAGCTGTAATACGTGGAGACATTATTAACACCATAAGTAAAGAACTGTCACTGCTGATGTGCGGTTCTTACCCCAGCAATGCTCCTTTGAGACACAGGGCTGGAAAGGACAGTCTAGAATTTGACAGCAAACAGAAAATAAGGAAAAATGGCCAAAAAATTAAACCAATAAAATAAAAGCCTCCTTCAGCTCTGTTGTGACCAGGAGATCTGGTTATCCTTTCAGTAGTATGGAGAGTACAAAACAAGAGTTCTCACCCTCCAGGGGATCCCTGGTGAGTCCCAGCTGGCTGATAATATAACGAGGAATGTCACATTTAATTCCTTGCCCTTCCTTGGCATGGCCTTCTGCAGCTTCTAACAAATGGTAGAACTCTTCAGGATCAAACTCCTACGGCAAGGCAGCGAGAGAGACAGAGAGGGGTAAATGATTCAGCTTTACAATTACGAAAGGTTTCCCTCCCATACAGGAGATTCCTCAGAAACATCCAGAGTTAATTCTGGGCTCAGCAGTGCCGCAAAACATGTGCAGTTACAACAAGTGTGTCGACGCGTTCCACTCTGCTCTGCAGAAACGACAGACATGTACAGCCTGCTGTGTGTCCACTGGCTCAGACCTGCAAAGCGAAACAGGACAAGGACTGGGGGGGACTTTTTATGAACCAAAACCAGACTATCAGATAATACGGTCATGGTAACATAAGCATCAGTGTGGACATGCCTCCCAATTTTGTCACACAGATGTGCCTGGGAAAGGTCTGTGGTGAGGACTGAGGTGCTGCCTTCTGCCACCTCTGTCTGACAGGTGAGTTAAGCCAATATAAACCTCTCCTGCTTTCAGATGTCACTTCTGATCAAACCATACGCCCACCCAATTCTGTAACTGTCTCGATCTTAGCAATTGCTAATAAAATTATTAATGAAACAGCAATTGCTATTTTATCAGCAGAGGAGATTTCACTTGCTATGTAAGAAACCCTGCTGCAGTATTTCTTGTGCTATGCAGTACACGATCATCTGATCGAGCCGGTCTTGGTGTATGTGATCTCTAAGGCAAGAAAAGATTATAATAAGGTGTCATCTCCTTTACTAGACTAACATATAGCTGGAAGTAAAAGACAAGCTTTTGGTGGCAGGAGCACTCTGCTTAAAAGCAAGTTCACCGGTTAACTTTAACTCTCCCCTACAAACCTCATCATTCACCAGCAACGAGCAGCTCTTCAAAAATTTTCTAGTGAAATGGGAGGTTGAAAGGGGAAGAGTTACAGCATGGAGCTGTGAGGGCATCAGGGAAGAACTGACATGAGTGTGCTCAGCAGCGTAAGAGAAAAAGAGAGCACAGAACCGCAAACGAGAAAAACAAATGTGACGATGTCAAGACATTTGAAGGGTTAGAGAAACAGAGAAAAGACGCACTTTTTCTTGATTGCTTTAAGCAGTGCTGCTTAGATACGTGCTGCCACCAGAGACGGCAACAATGCAAGAAAGTAAGCGCCTTCCTAACTCCTCTGGAAAAGGATTCATCGGCTACCTCAGAACTGGCAGAGAGCAGGAGCCAGAGCAGAGAGGACCACAGGAGAGAGATGGCCAACAGCACTGTGCTACTGAAAGGGAAGGTGGAGTCAAGCAAGGACTCTTCAGGACACAACCATAGATCGTTCACTGCTGAGTGAAGGGCAGAAGAAAAAATATCTGGTGACCAAAAATTCAAACATACAAAAAAATGAAGAAATTAAACAAATTCCAGTTCCGTCTTCTTTTTAGTAGAAGTATTTAGTAATCTGAATAGTTTTATTTAAATGGAGAAGAATGATCCCTACTAAGCAGAGGCAAATGCTATGGAAAAGTAATCTGAAAAAAGAATAAATGACATATTTTTTCCCAAAAGATGGTTTCAGTGATGCACAAAACACATTATTATTTTCTTGAAGCCTCAGAGACTCAGTTCATTAATAAACATTTCACAGTCCAACAGGTAACACAAAGACTGAAGCCAAATAACTGAAGTTTAAAACACTCAAATGCCTTCACCCCCCATTACAACCATCACAACCACTGCCTGTATGGTCACTTATTTCATCTACAAGGAAGAAGTAAGAATGAGCTGTGTTACTCAAATTAACATTAATATTAAATCTTAGAATATTGGTCCACAAATTCACAAACAATGAAGCTAGAAGTTAAAGTAATGTTAAAAATGTTAAAATATTAAATAAATATGTGTTTTTTAAAAAAGATATGTAGTTCTCAAGCTATTTAAATGGTAGGCTATCCATTGCTGTATTTCTTGTTCTTTTAAGGGATAAAAGGGACATTAACACTTAAGTCAGCGAAATAAAATATATACATGGAAAAAATTGCTAGAAAGGGAATCACATTAAACAAAGGAAAGACTAAAATACAGATACAAGTATTATTTTTATGCTTTGAAGTCTAGCCACTTCATCGCCAAGGTTGTCACTACATGCTTTGGAGTTCATTACTCAAATCTCCATGACTCTACGGCTTCCATCTGCTCCCACTGACTTTGCAGAGCATCAGGTGCAGAAGATAGCGGAGGAACCTGGAGACCTATTGATTTGCAGCTAAAAGCTGGCTTGAGTTTGGATCTGCTTGCAGGTATAGAGATGGGTTCACAAAACTTACTGAGGTTTTATGCCTTATATGTTACTAGTAGAGTGTACACAAGCATAAATGACAATGGTGTACACAGAAAATATAAACACAACATGCTTAAATTTAGTTGCTTTCTTCATTGTCTTCACTTCCAAAGGATATTTTGAATAAGTGCTGGAAGATAACTGGAGTCTCAAAACTCCTCTAAATCACAAAAATAGTTTATCAAAGCCAAAGGATTCCCAGGCTGAATGGAGCCGTGTCCAGGATTTTCAATGTAATCTAGTGCAAACTTCTTGAATAAGTGTAGGCACCGATCTTTCTAGTTGCGTGGCCTACTTCTTCGACATGGACAATGGTCTTCCTTGTGCTATAGGGTTCATAGCAAAGCAATCCTTCTGACAGTCATGGAGGAGGAATAAGGAAACACTCCAAAGTTTACTGGTGTTTTCACCTGTACCTCAGCAGATGCTTTCAAAGCTGACATCATTGGAAAGGTTGGACCACTCATGTCTACTCTGTCAAAGAAAGCTCTGCAAAACTCATTTTTCTGCTAGTGACTCCAGCAATAAGTCACCCCTGTGCACACGGTGTGCTTCAAATGTTAACTGTACATCTACATCCAGCCACAGATTCCTAATTCAGCCAACTTCTTTAATGTTTCAATCAGATGTAGCTTCTTTGTCATTTTTATGTCCAGAAAGAACCATTACACTGTAAGCTTTGACCTCTCATGTAACTAACACCAGCCAAGAAATTTCATCCTACTATTTCCTAAGTTTCCATTGTAGGTTTGTGACACCTTCTCCAGCCCTCAAACAATTTTCTGTGACTCTTTCCTACACTGTCACCAATTTTTCAATATCCTTTTGAAACAGTGTCAGAGAACTGACCCCTATAACCAATAACCACCACAACATTGTGTACACCAGAGGCCTGAGCACCTGTTTCCATATATATTCAAGAATTGTATTAACCCTCTTGCTGGCACATCACAGTGAGAATGCACGTTCAGGCTACATAAATATTTTTGGAGTTGCACGACTTCAGGACACAGTGGCCTATTGCACTGGGATGGCCTACACACTTTTCACCATTTCCTAGAGTTAAATAAAAGAATATGTTCTTATTAGCCAGAGTAAGTTGTTTAAAAAGCAATGAGACTTGCTTTTCATATATTCCAGTAACATTGAAAAGAATTTCAACCACAGGCTTCTAAATCTGCTTGCATCTCTTACTGGCCTATCCCTCTGTGTTCACGGCTGGAAAACCTGACACCAGGTTTCTCTGCAATTGCTGGGTCTACAGTAAGAGTTTGAGTCCAAGAGCCCAAACACCATTTGTATCATGGAAGGGAACTTCTTCCTTAGCGACAGTTCCTTCTTAGCACGGCTCTCTGGGCACTGTACGCACGTCATACATTTACACACTCTTCACTGTACCTACTAACAACACAAGGAAAATCAGGTGGCATGAAATGATGCCAACAGTTTATGGCCCCCCAGCTATAAACATTATATAAAATATAATTTAGCTGCTGTTGCAGTTGACACTCCAATGGAAAGATACTTCTATATTAATGTAAAAGACACTTAGTACTTCTTCTCTTAAAATACTGATTTATTTTTCATCAGTGTTTTTATGAGAATGTAAAGCTTTCTCTTGAATGCTTTGTGTCCCTTATCTCCTCAAACACACACCAGACTCTCTAGATCATACATGCACTCTCCTGAGGACCAAGCTTACCAGGCACTCAAGCAGACGAGCTGGTCGTGCAATGACAATCATCAGCTTCTTCACAAGTTGGGTAACGAAGGCAACCTCGGAGCTCTCGGATCGCTCGTGGGCCTGTGGAGAGCAGAACATCACATTATGGTCCTAGCAGTGAACTCTTCATTTCTATGTGTCAAATGCTGAATACAGAGTGATCACCAGCTCAGTAACTGCAATTTGGCAGCAAAGCTATGACTGAGCCAGGGCAGGCAACGATCTCAGCTCATTCAAGGATGCCGAGTTCCATATAGCTTTTCCATTACAGCTGACCCCATTCATCATGCAAGAGGTATTTTGAAGGCTCTATTTGCCTTATATCACCTATCAATTATATTAGAAATGATGTGTTTTTATTTCATTTTTAAAAATGAAAATAGGAATACTGCTTTTTTTTCAATTTTACCTTCCACACAATACTGACATCTAGATAATTACTAACAGCCACGCATGTTTCTAGGCTTTACTTTCAGCTAGAATTTGAACTACTTCTGTTCATCATCAAGAGAAACCCAAACATTAGTTTATCTTTATTTATTTTTATAAATCTTGCTGAACAACTACAGCATTGTATTGTATGCTGCGTAGGACCACGCACACATGCAAAGCAAAGAGCTGACAGAAACCTAATTCAGAGAATTTACTTTCATCCACCACCTTTACCAGATTTCAGTATAAATTCAAGGCTTAGTTTCAAGGTGTGTATGTGTGTGTGACAGGGTGTCTTTTTACAACAAGAAACACACTAAAACAAATGTAAAAAAACCCAACCAACCCCAAACCAACAAAGACGGATTTGAACAACTGCCCCCAAATTACTCTTCTCTTGCTCAAGCATACAATGGTTACATTATGAGTCCTGAAGCAGAAACAAAATAGTATTTCATTGCAGGGTGATAGAAAGATGGTTGCAATGACATGTAAAAACTCTGAAACAAAGTATAGCTACTTTTTATCCCAAGGTCTAAAAATTAGGCTTTAGCAGAGCCACAAAGACAAAGTCCAGAACTTAACCACTGAGCTTATGCTGGCAATGAGCCAGTTGCTTATAGGAATGATATTTTATCAACAAGGGTGCAAGCAGCAAGGAGCTAAAAGGTTCATTCAGCATTGCTCATTAGCACCATCTACGAAAAAGGCATGTATGAGTGAGAAGTCAAATCACACTGGTGATCACCTAGAAGAACAATAAAAGCACAGGGAAGCAGAAATTCAGAGCTAGAATCACATAGGCAGCATTTTAAATAATATATCCCTGATATTTTGTTAACAAACAAACAAACAAAAAAGAGTTCATTATTGCTCATTTTGACCCAGGTCAGAATAAGAAATGTTGTTCATTTACTTCAGCGCTGATAAGCTAGGACTAGAATTTTAACCTTGAAGAAAATGATGTAACTGGTAATTCGTTATCTAAAAAGAACATCAGAGATGCTTCCTGGCTATAGAGCCTTACAAAGAAGATTATTTTGAAACAAGTTGCAATTTTTTCCTAACTGAAAGGTATTTTTTAATTATAAAATAGAAAATAATCAAAATGAAGATGATTAGTATTCACTCTGTCCCCCCAAATGCACTACGCAAACTTATGAGTTAAAATATGAATTCTAGAAAGAAATGAATGCTTTTATATTTGAAAAGCCATTCCAGATCACCAGGGGTTAGCTGTGTTGAAATGAATAAATAAAACATCAACAACTTTGCATTATTTGAAATATGAGCCATGCAATTGGAAAGTCCTTTCCCCCCACCCCCATGTAAGTTATATTATGCAAAAAATAATAATTCATCTTTTTGCATCCATTTATACTGTTGAAGCAAACTCATTCTTTCAAATCATGTCCTTTTGTTCTCTCCTTTTCTCATCTACAACAATTCAGGCAAAATAACTTAAAAATTTAACTAATTTAATCAGGTGTCTGTTTTGAAAATGAAAAGCTGGACCATGACTGCCAAATGATACAGAAAAGCAAAAGGAAAAAAAAAAGGATTACACAAATCAAACACAACTTGTAACAGCCACTCAGCCATCATCTCTGCACAGCGCTGCTCTTCCAAGATCCTCAGTAAAACTGCTTCTTCTTGTCTCCTTCTCGTGCAGGACAGCCCGGACATCCCTACGGACGTCTTGTTTACAATCTGTCCCAAGGATGGTATCTGGAAACCCGAGGGTTATATAGCCAAGCACTGCCTGCCGTTTCCACGTGCCTTGATATAAGGCGTGCCATCTAATTAGCAGTTCCCGATGACGACATGCTTGTCTGAAGGTTGCTGGTGGCATTTCAGGGTTCCCCCCCCGCCGCTCCATCTCCCGAGGGGAGGAAGAGAAGCTATTGGGGTTGTAGGTAGAGGCTGATGCCATTCCTACACACATTGCCAGGGACACATCATGTACAGGAGGCAGCAACGGGTAATTTACAGACCGATTCCCTTAGCTGAAAGACCCATCCGTCACTAACTGTAGCTACTGGGGCATGAAATTAAAATAACTGTCCCCCCCGGGATGCAGCAGGACCAATAACTGGGATATGCAAGTCACAACGCTGTAATTGAGCTAATATACTGATGGAAACCAAAACAATAGACCTGCAGTGCCAAGAACCAACAAATTTACACTCAGGCTTGTATTAAGAAAGCAATCCCAATCGGAATATCCATTTGCCAATGTGCAGCATCAGCCACTGCAGTATAATACCGACATCCTCCTCTGTTTCTTTTGTTCCATGCACAGTAACACCTGTAACCCTTCCCCTTCCTCACCAATTGGCTACACCCACGCAAAAGCCATTAAACTTTTGGCAAGTTTTAGCCCATCAATTCAAGCCAGTAATAACTGGCTATAACCTTTTTTACCCAGGAACCTGAGCTCCCATCCCATCCTCTAACTCCACCTCACAGTAATAGATAAAGAATTGAATGTCCTATATTCTTCTTTATAAGTGCTTTATCTTACTTTTCAATTTTGTAACATTAAGTTTGAAGTGTAACATTCAAGTTCATGTTTTCCAAAAGGAAGAAAATCTCTTAAATTCATTTTTACTTCAGGATAATTTCAATGATGCAATAAGCAATAGGTTTTTCTGGCTGAAAGACAATTATTTCATGCTCCAAACAAGGGAAAATATCTCATTTGCCGTAACTAATGAGATTTGTTGGTATTTCATTACAAAAGTTAGGATCTAAAAACTTTTAAAAGCTTTCTGAGTTTGTATCTTTAAACAGCTCATTATTTACATACTCAGTTACCTGATTTTACGGATACGTTTTTACAACATAAAGTAGACTCAAACTGCAAGACATTAAATTGAGTTTTCTTTCTATGGTTTGAAATATTGTGCAAGTTTAGTCTGTTACCACGTGTCAGAATCAGCACCTTAAAAAGGAGTTTCAAGAGAATCCATTCTTTCACAGTAAAACTGTAGGAAAATCCATGGGTATTCTTGCCACTTGCTGACCTGCTGCTGCTCATTTCCTTATTCACCAATAAATCATCTTCCCAATCTTTCTATATCTTGTAAAAATATACCATAAAAGCATATATCCCACTGCACAGACCATACAACTTCCCAAGTAGAAGAGCTTTTTTGATGACCTTCCAGTTGGCATTTTTATGTATAACTCTGCATGTCATATTAAAAGCTAAGCAAAGGTGAAGACCCTGCACTCAAGTTTGGCATAATCTAATATTGACTCCAAACTTCTTGTGTTTCAGGTAAGTCCTCCAAAAGAAATATTATTGCCAATTTCTATACATTTAGACTGAAATGTCCTCATTATTTCCTTTTAGAATGCAGGGCAAAGCACAGACTGGAAAGCGGGGGGAAACAAGTACTTTATTAAAATGTAAAAGAAAAGACAAGATACTACGATAGGACAGAAAAAAGATATCAGAAAGATGTGGAATGAAGTCTTTGGCATTCCTCTGCTGTCTTCAACTTCTTTGTCCTCTTCCTTCCCAGCCTGTTCTGTCTCCCTCATCTCTAAGCTTTCCTGTTAATCCTCCCTCGCCCACCTCACTGCCTAAAGTAAATCAATTAAACTTAAGAGTTGACCCTTCTCTCACCCTCCCTGCAGAAGACGTTAAGGAGGAAGAGGTCAAAGCAAGCCCTGAATGTCAATTCCCGAACAAGCCCAGAGATGACCACTGTATCTTCTCCGATAGATAGTTCAGTGCCATCTTGCCCTGTGCTTAGGAGTAGCAGTATAATGCATGTAGGATCAAAGGGAAAAGGACATTTAAGAAGTTCTGACGGAGGGGAGAGGAAAAGAAAAAGCAGATTTATCTGACCCACACCTTCTCCAAGATCCTGATTAACCTCTTCAGGACAGAAGACAGGCCTGAAAGCACAGACTGGAAGTGGTGGGACCCGATTTATTGCTCTCTTAATTCCTTATGAATGAGAAATCATTGCCCACACAGAGAGTGGGAAAGTCTGGGAGTGGGAGAATTGCAAGCGCCAAGTATTTGCTGCCAGAAGCAGTAAATACACCGTAGTCCCCTTGCACCCCTTGAAACGCAAGCTATTTTGCCGAGCATACACACCCACTTCTAGTGAAATCTTTTCAACTTCCAAAGCATCACCCAAAGAGGCCTGATCCCTTATTTCATAGCTGACGCGTGCAAATACCCTGCTCCCAGGCTGCAGGGATACAAGGGGGACCGGCTGGCATGTGTGTATCTGGCTGCAGGAACCCCTCCGTCATCCCCCCCCCTCGCCGCCAGCCCAAGGGCACCTGCCCCACGCAGGCAGGGGTGCTGAGCGCCCGCGCCAGCCCTCGCCGCGCCCCGCGGTGCTGCTGGGTGATCCGCAGCCTCCCCAGGAAGGCTACGCTGCCGCTTTCAAACTCCAGAAACACCCTCCTCTCTTTCGAAGACTACGAGTACTGAACAATTTCGTTGACTAGATGCAGTTTTTCCAGCCCTGTATGCTGGTACCAGTGGTCAAAGTCTCGCACGGCATGCAAAGAACGCCACTTTTACCAGGAAACACATTTTTTACTATTAAATGCATCCACAGTGGTTACTGGTATCTCACAGGCAGACAACCACACAGGCCCTCGAAAGATATTCCCTACCGCTCTCGATCTGTCAAAATTATATTCCCCATCCAGGCGGAACACCACAGAAACAAACATGAGTCATTTTTCTCCCATGCATAACAAATATCAGGGAAATTACAGCCACACTTACATAAATGGGGTAGCCAAAGATTTTAGCTGATACAAGGGAAGGTTTTTAAAAAGCTTTTTAATACAATAATTGTACATTTATGTAGTATTCTTATTCATCTGCAATTTTC